AACTGGCTGATCGATCGTCCCAGAAGGCGCCTGCCATGCGAAAGACCTTTACACTAGTGAGTGTAGACCAGTATGTTCATTGTTTCGACGCGTCGGGAGCGTTCAAATCAGAATCGAGTTTTTCAGGACGGAGGTAACCGTCCATCGATTATTAGACGAGTAAATTGTTAGGAGCGACAACAAACGAGTACGGTCACAACGGTTAAGATGAGAGAGAACTCAGAACCTGGAAGAATACGCCCGACTCGTCTAATAATATCGGTACATGGGCTGGAAAATAAAAGGAATAATATGGGTAATCGCGTTCGGCAACAGAACGAATGGCAAACACGACACAGCCTTCGGCTAGCCAAAGCCTGACCCGCAAGTGCGAGACCTCGTCCCTCCGCGATGAGGGTGCCACTGGACTTTCTGTTTTCAACCGCCGATGTCTCCGAAGCATTGTTCATGTCTGGTGGGATGGTGGGTAAGCGATATCGTCGTCGCCGTATACTGGGTGTGGGTAGTTTCTCTCTAACAGAAGTATTCGATCTACATCGCCTCCGATGGCTTGGCCACATATTGTGTATGCCTGTCCATCGACTACCTGTCCGTACTCTTCGCACGTGCCGGACAAGGCTGGAAGAAGCGCCGCGGTGTCAGACCATGACAGCGTACAGGTACATGGGCTGGAAAACGAAAGGTTTTCAGTTGCATCATGTTGGTCGTGTGACCCGGTTTTAAGGGGTAGGTGTTGTGTGAAAATATATTTGCATGTGGGCAGCGGAAGGAGTTGGTTCGTGGAACCAGGGGGAAATGGAGAGCTTGGATAAGACGTTTCTGGGTACAGTTCTGGGTTTAAATGTCTAATAAATATGTCTTCGTTTATGGCCAACGTACGCATTTAGACCGGTTCGGGGAACCTGTTAAATAATGCGGAATGCCTCACTTGACTAAACACGATGGCCGGTGTCTACCATGTGGGCAAGAATAGCACTTGTCATAGATGCCGAACAATCGTGATTCTTCCAGCCATTGAGTGACAGCATTGTATAAAGAATTTGTTATCGATAGGATGAGCCTCGGAGTGCATGAATCGGTAGGTCCTATGCGTTCTTATAGCTCACTACTTACGTAACCCTCTTGATTGAGTCGTTTCAGTGTCACCGTTATTTATTGTTCACTCTGGCGTATCTTGTCCTTTTTTGTTTCTGTGGTCGTGAACTTGTCCTCTTCCGATGCGATAGCTAGTAGTTTATTAGTATATTCCTCCTTGTTCATAACCACAATCCCGGTTACTTTATCTGGGCCAATGGATATTTTATCTTCATTACTGGCCAGTTCACGAGTGCCTCGATGTGCTTTTTGGTAACGGGGTAGCCTTGCGGGGTTCATCTCTGCCGTGTGATTAGCAAGCGCTACCGAGAATTTATTTGAAAGCCTTCATATTTTTGTTCGAACTAGACACCAAATCCCATATCTGATTGGGAATGTGGTGTGCAACACATTGATCGATTCCTCACATTTTATTGTTCTCCTCTCAAACCCTAGGTTTTATCCTCATAAAATGTAACGGCACGATTATAAATTGTTGAAAACAATTATTCTCTTGAGATTGTGTTCTAAATGCGAGTATGGGCATATTTCGAAATTTAAATCGTGTTCGACCACCGTGCAACAATCCGTTCAAATAATCATTGAACCTCTGCTTTTTTGCCACACATACTCTGTCGTCTCACCAGTACTCTGCTGGCTGTCCCACCGGATTCATGCTAGAGTGAGATGTGCAGTTGTTATTTTCAAGTGATAATTACGTCCCTACATCAGAACCATCCGTCGGACGCTGGGTTTCACAAGAGGAAGACTATCACAGGCGATTAATTTAAAAATCCATCATAAGTATGTTGTACCCACCGAGAAACAATGGTGGGTCACGCTGTTTTTTGCTTGGGTGCTCTTGGTGTAGCCTGAAGTAAATCGGAATGATCGGTTTATCTATCAGTATACTTTTGTATTTTATTTCACATCTCTCTGCGCAATCTTTATGGTAAAAATATCTGTCCATGATTGTCCAGACAATAGCAAGTGAATGTTTTGTATGATTCAACCGAAGCTCACGGTAAACTAAAACCTGGCCCACAAGGCAGCAAGGTGGCGTGTAAATCGCGGCCCATTGGTTACCGGTGTCCGATCAGTTAGATCGTACACATATCGGGTGTAAATCACAGTATCCAAGACGCCCAATCGATCCGGTGACCAGAATTTCCTGGATTCAGTTTGTACGCCTCTTGTAAGGTTTGGAATCAAGCTTTTCGTATTCCTATAGATGAGATAGTTACCGGTGATTTATAAACCCAGCTGCGTCTACGGATATTGTGGTCTCGCTTTCATTTTGGTGAAAACACTACTAGAGTACAGTTTGTATGATTTCCTTAACGGAGACGCTTTCCACATGATTACCGGACACCATTCGTTTTTAATACAATTGAGGTAATTGTAATTTTCAGCGCGCGCTGTTTTCACACAAGAAACACACTATACTGCCCACCGGTTTTGAGAGGCGTTCAGGCCACAAAATGGATTACATTTTCGACTTATAGGGTATTCGAACGCTGGCGACGCGACAAGCATTGTTTTTCGAAAACCTTCCAACATGAACTGTAGCGATATACTTAGCCAAATTTATCCAACGCAGTTCCAGCCCTATTTGAGTAAATGCTTTTTACTCTTGCACCGTCAAACATGAACTAGGTTGCGGTGTGATGGTGTATTCTTTAGCAAATGATCACTATATGGTCATTTCGTCTCACGTCACCTGAACTGTAGTCTTTAGAAGCTTTCAGCTATTTCAGTTATGTAACTGAAGGCATAAACGGATTAATCTCTCAAATTTCATGATGCTATCGGGTAGCCTCTGTGGTGTTTATGTAGGCGTATTTATCAGACGGCTCACTTCATCCTCGAACCAGACTCATCTGGCTGTAGTTAATGGTCATGCGAATTCCCCTATTACTGCTATTCTAAATGAAACGAAATAACTCAAATCCGAGAAAATCAGTTGAAGAGCATCATCAAATTGTACGTCGTTTTAATGTTTAAATAAATTCTCAACAGTATCGTTTTCAATTAATTACCTACTTACAGGTAGTCGTATCTATGTGATATCTTATCTAGATGCTTATTCGTCTTCTGTTGGTTTAACCTCAGAAGCCCCCCGCCATAGGTGTTCCCATGAATGCTATGACCGCTTCGCTTTTGGCGGCGCAACAACAAAAGATCATGGCACAGCTTCAGCGACAAGCAATGACCAATCAAACGGTTGATTCAATGTCTCGTTCTGGCGTGGATGAGCTAATCCCAACGATCGGTTCCTTGCCCGCGGGTGCTGAAACAAACTCCGTTTTGACCACTGAGCGCTTGAGTTCGACATCAGCTCTAACGGCCGCATTACTTCGCGTTCGAGCAGCTAACGCGAACGCATCCAGCTTTTCCTTCGCCAACACTGGCGCCACTCAGTCACATGCTAATCAACTTGCAGTGTTGTTCGCTGCTGCTCAACAGCAACAACAACAGCAGCAGCAACAACAACAAGCTTTAGCATCTATGCGACTTCCGGCCAATGCGGTCCCAACTGCTGTAACACCGATTACTCCACAGGACATGAACGCGGTAAGTGTCTTTTATAATTACACAATGTGGATTAACGCAAAAGGAAACATCCTCGTATTTAAGGAATACGCAGTAAAAGGGAAGCACACGTAAGATCCGGCTTATTAGTTCTACGTTTAAAAAGTGTAAGCTTGTGAGTTGAGGGAGAGAAATAAAGTGCCAGGGTTTTCCACAGATTGCTAGTTCGAGAGAAAAGAAGTCCGGAATAGAGAAGTACGACTTCCTGGAACCGAAATCTGATACTAATTACCGGATGCTTGAGTGTAGGATGACCAGACAAAAGTTACAGGAAAAGGCACTAACGAGTCAGACTCCGAAGAACAAAAACCCAAATTAGTAACGGTAGAGAAAAGACGATAAAACAACTGCCTAGCGGTGGGCTAGTGATAGCAGATTAGAGATTGAGGAGGGACATCTGAATGACCATTCTTTGAGCACAAACAAGAGGAAAAAGAGAAGAAGACGAAACACAACCCACACGTGACTGCAGTATTCAAGAGCACGTTGGATTTTAACTTGGTTCTGTAAAAAAATGAGCTGGGAGTGGAAAGCGTCTGGTGTGAAATAAAAAACTAACCTTGCGTGCAGTACGAGGAGTAAGTTGAACAATAAAAGGGGACCGGCATAAGGTACTTATTAGGCAATCCAAGAAGGAAGACAGTATGTAGAACGCAGTTGGGTAGAATCGTAAAGTAAGTGGGGAGGGGAGAAAGAATGGTGTTTCAAAGAAATTATAAGAATATAGGTTTTAGAAACATTGAATGAAACCTGGTTGACGTTGCCTCAAGAGGAGGTGTGTTCAAGATCGAAGTCCAGTGACACGTTAACTGCGCTACGGTCACGATCGGTGTTGGTTTGGGCATGGCGAGTAGTGCGGTAGGGGAGGGAACAGCGGAGGGTGGCGCCATCGGCAAAAGAATAGATTGGGTTGATGGTTTTAAATGAGAGATTATTGAACAATAGAAGCAAGATGGTGGGTGCACATAGTAAACCTTGGGGAACGGCTGAAATAGAGCCTCATCAACTTGGACGTAGATGCTTCGCTTACTGAGGAAACTTGACGAGAGCCGAAAGGAACCCGAACATGGGCGATTTCGCCAGTAGACCGTACCAAACCCAGTCAAGGGCCTTTGAGATATCAAGCGAGACCAAGTGTTTCTCCGTGGTTATCGAGTGCAGCCGACCAGGATTGTGAGACAAGAGCCAGCAAGTCTCCCGTGGAACAACGCTGCCCTAGGTCATGCTCGCGGACGCTCACTTGTCCGTTACGTTCGAGGAACGCGAGCAGTTGCTCCGAGTTTCGGTTTCAGATTGTACAACCATTAACCGTGTACTTCCATGCGGCGGTTTTGTTGTTTTCTTTTGGCTGCCCATATGGATGGGGCATTAGGAGACAGACAAGGAGGTTGAAAGTTGAGTCGAAGATAAAATAGCAAATTTCAATGGACTAAAATCACAAAGAAATTGAGAAGATGCACGAGCGCCACTACTTACGACATAGCCTTATCACTCGGTGTCGTTAACAATTGATTACAATGATCCCAGGGGGGGGGGGACATTGCAGCACCTACGTTACCCAATGTCCTGGTTAGGGTTTTCATGCCCTCCTCAGATCTTATTTTGACCTCCCTCTCCACCTAGTAATTGCCTGGCATTGTGGCAGCCTATTTGGTAACACCGCCAGAGATAATGGTTTCAACTAATTTCTTATTGGGGTCAGGTAGTTTGTTGCGTTTAGGAATAACGGAGATCATGTGTTTCCCAGGGGTTGGGAAAGTAGAAAGTTAGTGAGAAAGGCTGAAAACACGTAAAACAGAAGCACACGTTATAGGGACGGTGGTTGAAATACCTTTGGAACTGGGTGGTTTGTTTGTTTTGACAGAGCGCAATATTCGATCCATTTTCCTAGTGCTAATAATAGGAAGAAATGGGTTACCAGTGAAATAAGAAGTAGATAAAGGAATGCCATAATTGGATAAATTGGATTTTGCGGCACACTGGGAAGCCGAAATTTTGGCTTTCCCTTGTGGATAACGCACAAGATCACTCGTGGAATTACAGTTTGGGGGGATGTTGGTTAGCAGAAATTACAAGGAATGGCTTTGGAAATGGATCAGTGTTCGGATACCGACAAACGATGAGTTCAAGTTTCCGGACCAATGCTCACCAACTGTTGGTAAGGCAAATTCATATTTTGTGATATCTGGTGGTCAAGTTATTCCATTGAAAATGTAGTTCTCAGCATCTCGGTAATAATGTTTGCTGGAAAACGCTACGTTTTGATGAGTGTTTCAACCATGTTCTTGTTTAATAAGTGCTCCTTTTTCTCTTGAGAAAGCGTCCAACTCGGGGCTGTTCTATGTATTGAATTTCCCTCAAGCGTTTTCACCGGGTTTTCTGTCTTTCAATCTTGCTTCAGATTGCTGTGAATAGGATCCTTGCTGCACATCACCTTC